ATGAAAGATTTTTTATCAAGCTGAATTAAAGTAATTAATGATAAAATTAATTGTGAATTTTTTATTATTACTTTTCGAAAATCAAAATTATTAATTAGTCATTAATATTTAGTCTGCAAATATATTTAATTGTAGCAATTTTGTTTCTTTAACCTTTGTGCAATTACATTTTGGAACGTTCTTTTTTCTTCAAACATTATTTAAAAGAAAAATTTAATTTTAATTATTAAATGTAATGGTAAAAATGTGAATTATAAATTGAATAATTGAATATAAATTGTATTTTTTGAATTAATAATTTTGTTACAAAGGAAATTACCTTAGTAAAAGTGAATTTTTTAGATAAAATATATTAAATATTAAATATTTAATAACAAAAAAAAGGGTTTGTAATTGAATTTTCTCTGATTACGTATATCTTATTGTATTGTGAGTTAAATATAGGTTAAAACGCTAAATAATCTAACTTATTACCACGATTATAAATAACATAAATTCAAAATTATAATCATATTTGAACTATAAGAAACTTTTTATATCAAAGAAATGGGTAAATTTTTTCAAACACAAACGATTCAACCAACTCCGCAGCTCGATCGTGACCATTATCGTGAGCTTTTTTATACCATTTTAGTGCCATATTGGAATCTTTTGAAATCCCGAATCCATAATGATAACATTCAGCAAGTTTAAATTGAGCATCTCCATATCCAGATTCAGCAGATCTTAAATACCACTCAAATGATTTTATATCATCTTTTTGTGTACCGATACCATTCCGATAACAGGAGCCAACACTACATTGTCCTTCATCATATCCACCTTCGGCTGATTTCAAATACCACTCAAATGCTTGTTGGTCATCTTTTTGCGTTCCTATGCAATTAAGGTAAAAGAAGCCAACATTACATTGCCCTCTAGCATCTCCACCCTCTGCTGATTTTAAATACCACTTGAATGCTTTTTTGTAATCTTTTTGTGTTCCAATACCTTTATAACAGAAACCAAGATTAAATTGTCCTCTAGCATCTCCACCCTTTGCTAATTTCAAATTCCACTCGAATACTTTTTTGTCATCTTTTTGTGTTCCAATACCTTTATAATAACAGAAGCCAACATTACATTGTATTAGAGTATGTATCTCCACTCTCTACGATTCTCAAATACTAATCAAATATTTCAATATGATTTTATATGTATCGTTTGTGCTGATTTCAAATACCACTCAAATGCTTTTTTCTCATCTTTTTGTGTTCCTATACCATTTCGATAACACCAACCAAGATTATATTGTCCATTAGCATCACCACCTTCTGCTGATTTCAAATACCATTCAAATGCTTTTTTCTCATCTTTTTGTGTTCCTAAACCATTTTGATAATAAGCACCAACGTTACATTGTCCTCTAGTACTTCCACCCTCTGCTGATTTCAAATACCATTCAAATGCTTTTTTCTCATCTTTTTGTATTCCGAATCCATTTTCATAACACCAACCAAGATTATATTGTCCTAAAGCATCACCACCTTTTGCTGATTTTAAATACCATTCAAATGCTTTTTTCTCAACTTTTTGTGTTCCTATACCATTTCGATAACACCAACCAAGATTATATTGCCCTAAAGCATCACCACCCTCTGCTGATTTCAAATACCATTCAAATGCTTTTTTCTCATCTTTTTGTGTTCCTATACCATTTTGATAATAAGCACCAACATTACATTGTCCTCTAATACTTCCACCATCTGCTGATTTCAAATACCATTCAAATGCTTTTTTCTCGTCTTTTTGTGTTCCGATTCCATTTCCATAACACCAACCAAGATTATATTGTCCAGTAGCATTACCACCTTCTGCTGATTTCAAATACCATTCAAATGCTTTTTTCTCATCTTTTTGTGTTCCGATTCCATTTCGATAACAAACACCAACATTACGTTGTCCTCTAGTACTTCCACCCTCTGCTGATTTCAAATACCATTCAAATGCTTTTTTCTCGTCTTTTTGTGTTCCTATACCATTTCGATAACACCAACCAAGATTATATTGTCCTCTAGCACATCCACATTTGGCGGATTTCGAGTACCATTCAAATGCTTTCTTATCATCTTTCTCTGTCCCAATTCCATTTCGATAACAAGTACCTAAATTACATTTTCCCCTAGAATCTTCCCCCCTCGCTGATTCGACATACCACTGAAATGCTTTTACAGGATCTCTTTGTACTCCTTTTCCTTCTTCATAGCAATTTCCAATAAAATATTGCGCTATAGCATGATTGTTGGTTGCTGACTCTTCGAAAATTTTTGCTGCAAGCTCTAAATTTTTGTTTATTATACAACCAGTGTAATAGAAAAATCCCAACAGTGTCCAATATTGAATTTTGTCGTTTTTAGAATTGTATAAAAAAGTATAAAAAGCATAAACGTCGAAAGAATCTGGCGCGTTCTGTCGATAATATGATTGTAATGATCTGCCAATCGTCAAGATATTTTTTTCGTAATTAAGCTGTTTATCTAGCAAATTTAATAAACCATCAACAATAATTTCAGGCGTATTTTTCGAAATTGAAAGGATTTCATGATAAGATGCTAAATTTTCAGAGTCTTCACAATAATCTTCACATGATGAATTCGAACTTCCTGATAATTGCTCTATCGATGACCATACTTCGGAACTCAAAGCCAATGTTACTTTAGATAAAGTTTCAGGTGTGAAAACAGGAGATTCCGGTGGCGACCAAACTATTGCTTTTAGGTCTTGATTTACTTTATTTATAGTTGGACGATTTGCTGGTGTATTGTCCCAACAATTT